TCTAATGGAATTGACTGTTCATGGTCTCTCTCCCTCCCTGTGGCTTGTTCACTGTTATTTTTCCAGTTTTCTCATAGCCCCTGACATGCAGCAAATACATGATAATATTTGCTGGTCATTGAATGAACGGCAGAAATGACCTACCTTGACTTATGTGTGGGGTGTATGATAAAAGGAATAAACCAAGAAAGATAAATTAGAGATCACAAAGGGCAAAAATGCTATGTGTAGCAGTCATTACTGTTGGTGGTCAAATGTGTCTCGTTTTATCCCCTTTTGGGCATGATATGACTGCATTTCTTACAATGGGATAGGGTCAAATGACTAGATCAGCCACCAAGTTTTGAGCAGAAGTGACACATTCCATTTCCTGGTTAAAGTATTTAATTGTTGGTGCAAGACACTCTAGAACTCTCTCTTCCTTTTGGAAAGACTCCATCAACTTGCATCTCTGAGCCACTAAAAGTTAGCAGTCTCCCTGCTGACAAGTGAGGGACACATGACATGAGTGAGAACTACTTATTTTAATACACTGAGATTTGTGAGTTGTTAATGCATAACGTCTAAAAAGTTTATTACATAACTCATTGGGAACCATTAAGAATTTCCTAATGTCAGAGCTAGGTTTCAGGAAAACTAGTTTGACCATTCTTTTTAATGACAGATTTGGAATAAAAGATGAACGGAAATCGGGAAGAGCAATCAGGATGCTATTATAGTGGTCTGGCTCTGTATTTCCCAAATCTATGCTCCATGGGCCTCTTGTCAAGGATATGTAAGTTGATATAGCACCAAAAAAAAAAAAAAAAAAAAAATGTTTCCATAGTAAAGTAAATCTAGAAAACTCCATATAACGTATATTGCCTTTAAGAAAAGATATTTGAGATATAGATTAGCCAATAAAAGGTTTGGAGAGAGTATTAAGTAAAAGTAGATTCTTAACCTCATCTAGCATCCATCACCAAAACTCATTGTTCCTGGAGAATTATTTGTTTGTTTGTTTGTTTAGCACACCCTCTATGAACCTGTAGGAGACTGCTTGATAGCAGGCTGAGAAATATTTGTCTAAGTGAAAGCATTGCGACAGTGGAAGTAAAATCAAAGGAAATACTTAAAATCTTTGTGAGAGACTTACCAGGTAGGTAACTCATTAGATTGTGTGATCACGGAAGGATCAAAGAAGATTGAGGTTTGCAACTTGGTAACTGGGAAAATGGTAGTGTCATTGACATTAATAGGAGAGGAAATAGAAAATGCTGGTTTTGGAAGAAGATAAATGCACTCAAAACGTATCTGCTTAGTATCAAGCCCTATCCTGGGTGCTGGATCACAGCTCTGAAAGACACACCATTTTCTACAGGAGCTTCAACTCTTCATTCACCCAACAACTTCTTCATTATCCAATTAACTTTTTTAAAGCACAAGATACTATGGCAAAAATGATATAGGAATCCATCCTTGTCTTGAAGGAGTTCTCAGGCTGGTATAAAAATGATCACCAAATTTAACATGTTTAAAAGAAACAAACCAAAAAGTTTTAGATTTTATTTTGTTTAAAATTTAGAGAGTGACAGTGGACCACTGAGGTGGAATTGCCTACCAGGCAGCTGGCAGTCTGGCCTGGAGTCCAAGAGAAGAGTTCTGGCTAGCTCTGTTTACAGGCTTGAAGGTAATTCACTGGGCTGAGAAGACAGCTAGGGACAGCGAGTGGAGGGCGGCAACGCCTGAATCCACTATATGGAAAGGGGATGAGGTAAAGGAGCCCCCAAGACAGAACAGCCTGGACATACGCAGGTAAGGAAATACTAAAATGAAATACAGGAAAAGGAAGAAGCTCATATGGTGTGACTGGCCCTAATCTTCTTGGGAACATCAAGAGGATAACTGAAGCAAAGAGGAGGAATGATCTTTAATAAGGGATTTACCAAGGATCCAATTTTGCAGAGAAATGCAAGGAGTTTGAAGAATGAGTAGTCTGATGACTGGTCACTTAGGGGGAGGGATTATGAGATTTTAGGAGCCAGTAGATGGTTAAGAAATAACCATCTCTTAATGAATGGGGTAATGAATGCAAAAAAATGGTTTACAGACGCTGGGCCCTACACTAAAGACATGAAACAAAATATTAATTTGAGGAGATAAGTAGTAGGTTTGAGAGTTTTTGTTTGTGATTTCATTTGATATTTGGGGATAGAAAAACAACTACTTTTGCAAGAGAAAGAAGAGACTGGCAACACTTTAAAGATGTAAGAGGCACAGCTGGGGATGGGATGGGGTGGGATGGGACGGGGCCAAAACCTTGGTGAAGCTATTGTTACCCTTGGAGAGGAGGTGGAAGATGTCTTTCTCTGAGAGTGAAGAAGAAGAGGGTGGGTATAGATACAGAATTGCAAGGGGAAGAGGCAGCAAATTTGAGTAAGTTTTTCTTGAGTGATAGGAAGAGCCTGAAAAAACAAGAATATGAAATTCTGGCAGGAACTCAGTGGTGCTGAGAAGAGCAGAAAAAGCACTGCAACAGTTAACCAGTGGGAATGCAACCGGGAGTCAGCTAGAGATGACTGCAAGTATTGCCAATTATGGGAGCAGGGGCATTTGGTGCAGGGTAATTCTTGGTTTTGCAGGACTATCCTGTGCATTGTAGGAAGTTTGGCATCACTGGCCCCTGTCCACCCAGTGCCTGTACTACCATCCATCGTTGTTATACCAGAAAACACTCCCTAATTTCCAAATGCCCAGGCTGAGAATCACTTAGCTGACATTAGATGGCTTAACATTACAACAGAATCAAATCACACTAATAATAGACAGCCTTCCCCAGCAACAGTTAGGAACCTAAGATCAGAGTCCAGTACTTTAAGGAGATTTCATAAGGAGACAGTAAAAGAAATATTCCTAGATTTTCCCTTCATTGATCGAGAATATTTATATCATCCCCAACTTGCCTCAATAGATCTGTTTCCAGTAAGAACAATTGCTAAACACAAATACAGTTTTACAGGAGATTAATTATTGCCAAATCAGACATTTTTTATAGGCTATGCATGTCTAAACCCTGATCTGCAGTCTGGTTTTATAAGCCTGGCCCTTTGCCCAGGATGTGGGAGTGGGGAGGGCCCACAGTAAAAGCTCTAGAAGGAGGCTGAAATAAATCAGAGGACTTAGTCTCAAAGAGAGCCCCTCCAGGCAGAGCACTGCTATCCCATGCACACAGTGGTTTTGGTAGCTTGAAAATACGGCTGATGATTTGCCCCCAAAAATAGAGTCTTAGAAATACTGACATAGTGGCAGAGCCATCTATGGAGGACTTGTATATCTGCCTGGACAGAGAAAAGGTCTAAGTTAAATATGGCCTTTAATTGAAATAAACATATAGGAACTGATATTTAGTACCATCTCAGAGCCAGACCTCAGCCTCTGCTTATCTGGCTATCTTTTGTTCATTAAGAAATTTTCAATATGCTTTGCTAACTCATCTGATCATGACCTCAGGCCTCCCTAAGCCTGTCCTGTATAGGTAAGCCAAGGGGCTTGGACCTGCCAATAGCTTCATCTTATTTTGACCCAGTCTACTGGGTCATAGCCCTCAGTAAAGCCTTGCCCGAGTGATTCTTCAGTTGCAACCCCGCCCTACTCAAACACCTCTCCCACTAAAATCTGATAGTAATCAGATAGTAATCTGATAGTAATCTTTTTGGTATTCATCTCTACCAGTCTTATGAAACCTTCTGGCTCTTGCACAAACCTTCTGACTGCAATGCACTACCTTCTAGTCTCCTTTATCACAGTGGAGTAGCACTTGCTACTCCAATAACTATTGACCTGACATTTCCAAACATTTCCAAACATCAAACAAGGCATTTCAAAAGGTCCACCTACAGTGTGAAAAGTGCCAAAGAGCTTTACTTTGGGGTGATGGAGTGCCAAAAATAACAGAACCTGAATGTCACTTTTAATTAGGCATAAAATACTAATGAACTAAAATAGAGAAAATGTGCCATGTGTTTTAAGCACATTCGTTTTATTAAAAAAATTTTGTACACGAACTTTTTTATTTACTGTGCCGCATTCATAATATACAAATTTGAGCCAAGGGTAAGCTTTTTTCTGACTTTTTTTAAATTCAGGTTCTTAAGACCATATTCCAAAATCAAAGACTATAGAGAAGATTAGTTATATAGAAGTACTAGCACCTATTATACCACCTTTAGCTTTGAATGTTCTCATTGTTAATTTTGGATGATAAATACATTTATCTAATTATTTCAGTCCTCTGGTATTATATAAAACTTTTAAGATAGGTGAATTTCTAATAGTCAGCTATCAGAAAATAAATAGAAGTTAAAAATAATGAAATAGCAATCTGATTAACAGAAAAATTGTGTAATTTATTTTTCATTGAAAATAGTATCTTTAAAAATATATAACAATCATATCAAACAATATATATAATTTAGTTTTAAAATGTACATATTATCCCATATTTTGAATATATTTCATATACTCTTTAAAAGTTCTTTAATTTTAAGAAAATTGGACTTTTTCCATTTCACGTAGAGAAAGCAAGAGACACATTTTATTAATAAATTTTCCCTGGCATATGATTCAACCTCATTAAGATTCTGACACAGGCAACACCTACAAGGCCAATATACTATTTCTATCAAGTTTTTCCCTACTACATGTAACTTAGTTCTCTCCCATCTCCTAGGTTTGGTGCTTGTACCATCCAACTTAGCATATAGTAAAGGGTCTCATATTGACTTCTAGATGCTCCAAATCTTGTCACTTTAGTTTTCTGAGTGTCAATTTAGCAAGACCACCAGTTCATTTTGAAGGATAGCAATCATGTCTTCTACTTTTTCCTGTCTCTGGTAATGTGGGCAAAAGATACATATAAAAGTCCTAGAATCACAAAAAAAGGCTATTGATCTCCTAATTCAAAATCAATATGCTCAATTATTATAACCCCCAAATAGAAATGCGGTAACTCAGTCACTCACATTGAACCATACCTTATTACTGCATTTCCTTCAGGTTGTTCTTTATGCAGAATATGTTGGAAGTAATCTTCTATGGCTTGAGCAGTTAGAAATTTTTTTAAGTACGGGTAATAAAGAGGGTGCCGTGCTATGATGCCTATTGTATACAAAACATCACGTTACTAAGCACATATGCTGAAGATTGATCAAAATGATACACTAATTTGAAGTATTTTAATCTGATTTTGTGAGGACATTGTGTATTGGGTTGGGGTGGGGAAGGAGCAATTTGAAGGGATACAGTGGACAAACTGTAGCACCCATCAAAGTGAATCTGTTAGTGGTGAAGATCATTCTCCCTGCTTTGGCAATGTACAGGGTTTCTCTGAATTCGGGTTGCCAGATTTAGATATGTCTAATTTAGGATATATCTGAACATTGCATGGGACATACTTAAACTAAAAAGTATTCATTATTTATCTGAAACTTAAATTTAACAAGGTGTTCTTTATTTTGTCTGGCAATTCTAATTATTTCAAAGGGTATTAGGAAATTTTAAGAAAGTTTATTTTTATTACTAAGCATATGCCATATAGCTGCAACTTGAGAAGAGGGGATGGAAGACTGAGGCAAAATCAAATTAAAAATGTGAGAATATTAACTTCAAAAGACTGTAAGTTTCAGAGGTCAAGGACCTTGACAATCATGCTCGCGGCTCTATTCTGCCTACAGCTCATGTTCTAGGGCAGCGATTTTCAATGGGTGCGCTGCAAGAATTTTTAAGACATGCAATACATGACTATTTAGTCAGGAGTGCTGGCCTCTCTTCCCTTAGATTGTCAAATAAAAAAATAACAATAGCCCTCCAGTGTGAACGCCCTGTCTTAAACCATAAATACACAGGCTCTCTAATAGAGTTGCATCTTGTTGGTCAAGTCACTAATAAACATGAGTCTGATTAGTTAATTCTTTGTACCAGAAATCCTTAAATTCAAGTATAGGCACCTGATTTTTAAAAAAAGTCACTTTGGAGCAAAAAAGTTATGTAATTACTAATATTATTATTATTATTACTTTTCGTAAATTAATCAAAATTATACCTATATTTTGTCAGGTTGGCCAAAAATATATTTTCTGGTGTGGGCCATGGGATGATAAAGGTTGAAAATCGCTGTTCTAGGGAATGTTCAAAAATGAAATGTTGGTTAATCCATTTCCTTAAGTCATCTCAACTCCAACAGCCCAAATACACACAGCAGGCAATGGTGAAGCTGAGGTACACAAATTGTCTGTGGACATAATCCAGATAGCTTTCCAGGAATAGACAAAGTGTCAATGGACTCACTGTTTATCAGATTTCAGATACAGGCACCTGTCATAGGTATTTGCATGTCTGTATTCCTTGCAATTTACAAACTCATCAGACAGCGCAGATTTAGGTCCCCTCGTGTTTTTATATATTATTTTCACTAAAGACAAAGGCATTTACAGTCTACCTAAAGACATTTATTAAACAATAGTCTGGTTATTCTTGGGATTTCAGTAAAGAGATGAGAAAATGACATCTGTGAGGTTTAAAAGAACCAAGAAGCCAGGGAAGTCATTCCAAGGAGAAAAGGAAGGATCTGACAATTTGTGGAGGGGGAAAGGAAGAAAGAGTTTTAAGAGGTGAGGAGATATTCTTTAGAAATATACAAATAAAAGAAATATATATGAATAAGGAAAAATAGAAATATGGTCATAATAAGGTATTGTACTATTTGACAACGTTAGGGAATTAAAAGGGAGCTCTTGGCAAAAGGCCAAGCCATACAAGTGCACTATAATACTATGAGTTAAGAATAGACATTCTGGCCCCAAGTATATTTAAATTATTTATTTTTTGCAAAAATGTATCATTGAAAGGCACATTTATTTGAAGCACACATTTTTGTATGTTATGTCAGTAAGAAAGTAGCTAGATAGCACTGGACAATTTAATATACCCTAACTAATAGAGTGAACAACAACTTTCATTGTTGGGAGCAAAACAAAAACTTTTTAAATGACTGAAACCAATTCTAGAGATGTGAAATGTGGTTTGTATAAGCAAAAAATACCTATATTTGCAGAGTTGCCTTTGTCTCCGCTTCTTGTATAGGCCAGATCTTCTAAGCGATAAGTCAGTGAGCCACTTGGTAGATCTACCAATAGAAGAAAATTGAAGAGATATATAAAAGAATTACAAGATGGTCATATGGATGGGGTTGTTCTAATAGGGAAGTTACACAGAGCAACTTGGTTGGCTACAATTAGATCACCCCTTATCAGCCTTTTTTGGAAGGCTTAGCACTCTAGGTCAGACACATTTTTCTCTAGTTTCTAAGAACATTAAACATTTTTGAGATATAAATATATGTTCTACTTAAAAATTACAACTTTTATGTAAAACCAACAATAAAATGAGAGAAAGTGAGAATGTTGAGATACTCATACCACTCTACATGGGTGTTACTGCATAATTGCTAGAAAGTTAAAGATCTGCCATGTGATTTAACAAATGGGAAGCAGGGCATTTCAGATTGTTTTTCTCTTTATGATGATTTTGTGGGAATTATAACTCTTTTTTTAGACTCTAAATCCATATCTCGTCTTTATGGGAGACCAAAACTTTATAGGTACTAACTAAGGTTGAACAGCATTTAATTTAATGCAGCGGACCATGCAGTAACTACCAGTTCCCTAAGATCACTGTAAATAATATGCAAAACCAGTAAGACCTCCTTAAAATGAATTAGCAAAAAAACCATTTCAAACAAGGTGGAAAAAATCCTCAATTGCAAAATATTTCCAAAGCAAATTTCATAAGCATATGGTAATTAAAATTAAATCAAGAAGCACATGGATAATTATAGTGTAAACCCTATGAATATATAGGCAGTCCTCACTTTGCACAGTCCCAATATGCATGAATTTCTGTTACCAAGATTAAGCTGATTAACACCAATCCCCTAACAGCATGGTTCCAGTTTCAGTTACCATGATATATGAACCAGATGTAATTGTAAAATTATTCAGTTCATGCACAAATGGCAGTGTGTACTTGTGCTGCTTCCTTGGTCTCCCAGTGATAAACTCACGTGACATTTTACAAAAACAGGTTGCTGAAAGAGAGAATTGCCCAAGAAAGAGGGAAGTGCAGCAAAGAAACAATACGCGGTTAACAGAGGAAGTAAAATTACGAATGGAATTACAGAAGGACCCAAAGTAGAAATGTTGACACTGTTGAAATACGCTAGCTATGCAGACTCTAGAGGAAATCAGTAAAGGCAAAATTTTTAAATTGAATTTATTGGGGTGACATTAGTCAATAAAATTATACAGGTTTCAGGTATACAAGTCTATAATACATCAACTGTATATTGCATTGTGTGTTCACCACCCCAAGTCAGGTCTCCTTCCATCACCGTTTATTCCCTCCTCTACTCTCTTCTACCTCCCCCCATGCCCTTTCTTTCTGGTAATCACATACTGATGTCTGTAACTATGAGTTTTTTTTGTTTTTTGGGTTATTTTTTGCTTATTCCCTTCATCTTTTTCAGCCAGTCCCCAACCTCCTCCCCTCTGAAAGCTGTCAGTATGTTCTCTTATCTATGAATCTGTTTCTATTTTGATGATTAGTATATTGTTCATTAGATTCCACATATGAAGGAAGGTAAATTTATCAGCATAAATAAGGAAAGAGACTGTGACTAAAAGGATGAAAGTGTCTCTAAGGAAATGATGCCTAAAAGAAAAGCTTCACATGAGGAATTCTTGAAGACATTACTCAATGCAAAGTGCAAAGGATAAAATGTTGGAGGCTGATACAAACATTGAAAGGAATATACAAGTCAGAGTAGACCTGTGGATTTATTTTAATCTCCTGAAGCTGAATCGCTAAAAGACTGAGAGCTTTCCAAAGTTCTTTTTTTTCTGATTCGAATGTTCCCTTGATGAAGAGTGTCACAGGATAAATCACTGTTCTGATCATGTATCTCTCTGAATCCCTCCTAAAACCTAGCTTTCCACTTGTGCAGGGCTATCCTTGATTTATGCAACAAAAACCATTACATTTGTTTAGATCCTCTCATCAACAAGTAGCTAAGAGACCAATTGAATTGTAGGGTCATCGTTTTTCTCCACAAATCTCAAATCTATTCAGTATCTTTCATGAACCAAACTCCCAGCTACTCCATATGGCATGCCCAGGTATGGCCATGCCCTGGCCTCAGATAAATGACACTAATACTTCCTGCCAATGTGTCCTACATACTTGTCATATCATCTTTACAGACATTAAAAATAGGCCAGAAAAAAAAGTAATGAGAAATGGAAATAATAACTGCTGTGGCAGAACATACCAGGTAGAGCATATGAACACACCTTTTAGGTCATCATCTGTCTTGGGTAAATTTGCTGAAGCCAATGTGTCCAGTGTAAAGGTGACATCCTCATGGAAGGTTTCAATATGTCCACCATTAATCAGGTGGATATCAACCTGAAAAAAAATTAAGAGGAAATGGTAAAGAAATATTTTAGGAAGAAGAAAGTACTTATAATTTAGTTTCATTGGAACACAATTGGTCAGTTCTTTACTCCCACCTTAAGGCATTCTATTGTTGAAACTAATGCTAGTTTTTGAAAACCTACTGCTTTTATGGAACTACATGAAGCACACTGCTTTTTCATTCCTCTGGTGAGGGGAAGTAACAACTCTCATTTGCTTCTGGGCAAGTATTCTTCCCTCAGAAGCTCTGCCTGGTTGGTGATGGGGAGAGGGAGACGCTGAAGGCTGAACAATACCTGAGAGCCTGTGGCAAACTCAGTAGAAGAAGCACTAACCACTAGGGCCCTGAGGCTGATGCTAGAATCAAGGGCTCTTTGTTTCTTGTAGATTAATAACTGATAGCTGCCTCAACAGTACAATTTCTCTGAAAAAGCATTTCCAGCTTCCTCACCCAGCTCTCCGAGAATTTAATCAGGTCTGAGGCACATACCGGTCAAGTGCCAGAGCCTCACAATGGACCTTACTATGCCAGAAGCAGTTTGTCAGCCTGATCTTTCCATCAGGGTGTGGTGATCCTGGCTTACACACCAATGCACAGTCTAGTCACTCTGTGGCAGGGAAACTAGAATAGCATGTCTTAAATTTACGTTTAGGAGTGCATTTGTTTATACAAATATATAAGCGTGGAGCCATGTCTTTTTCTTCTTTATGCCCTAATCCCTACTAGCAGTCAGTGTCTGCAACATACAAGCTCTCAATAAATGTCGTACTACACTATATGAGTTTAGTTATATGTTCTTTTCCAAGGTGGCCCTTCCCATTATTTTTGATCTTCTTCATGACCAGTACATGTGCTGTGAGAATTAGAACCACGTTGCATAAGGCAGGCAGGCAGGATCACTTAGAATGGTATTCTGTGTGTACTCCTGGATTATTTTATTTTTATTTCTAAGCTGTTCCATCTAAACAAAAGACAACCTCATTCTCCCCCCATCCTCTTCAACCTACTTAAAACTGCTGCTTAGTTTTACTTGCTTAAGGTTACTAAAGCAAAAGCAACAGACTGAACTGTGCCACTGTTATTTGAAGATAAAGAGGGTTTATAGTTTGCTCATGTTTCTTGTCATTGCAAGTTCTGGGCAAATCTGGGATGCTTGGATAACAGGTTTCAATAATTTTAGATGGCGATCTGGCAAAAGCGTACTTGGCTTGCTGAATGCTATTACCAGGTGCTTCCCTATGGGTTCTTACTCAGCATATATTCCTTCCAGATGTTGAGAAATACACTAAAGCTGAGGCATTTGAATATCTGTCCTGGCAGGCTATCTTTCAAACGCTTCCAGATGGAGACTTCCATAAGCTGTTAATTACCTTATCATCCTTTTTCCTGTTGTTTTTGACTTCATGGTAGCCTATGAGGAGAAGATTAGGTCTTATCTTCTTATTAATGGGTTAAGAAAAGGCTTTTGGAAGCCAATTGATAAAAGTGAGTTGTAAGTTCCTTTTAAAAATTAGCTTTAAACTTATGCCATACATTGGCAGCCTTAGAAGCTCCTCATCAATTCGTCATGGCCCAAATTTCCAGTAACTATATTAAAACCTGTAGATGGCATTGGCTGATGATATTACCAACTCCTTTTCCATCATGGAACATTTTTATCATTTCCCATAACCAACAAGACTGGATAACCTAAAGTTTCAATAATACTATGGATAATCAAACATTTGGCAGCCATATTGCCAAAAATCAGGTCACTGTGAAACCAGCAAATGGAAAACATTTTATGTTACTGTATTTTCTGTAACTCTAAGCAGATGGCTTTTTACAACATAGGACAATTCAGGAAAGTCATGGTTCAGGTGGATTATAAGGTCAAGTCCAGAAACTTCTACACAGGACACATTTTCTATAGCTTGTGACAAAGATGAAGTAACTCAATTTTGGGGAAGAGTAAGAGTCTCACATACTTCCATTTGGAGTAAAAGGAAAAAAAATAAGAATGAAAAGGGAATTATTCAGAGAGACAGTGGCTTACAAATTTCCAAAATGAATGAAAGAACAATTCTTTGATACATTAAACCCAATGAATTCCAAGCCAGATAAGAAGAAATGGATACCTAGACACAACATGTTGAAATGGTAGAATGCCAAAGAAAAAGAAGCCAGAAAAGAAAAGAGACATTAACCACCAAATGGTCGCCAAACTGTCAGCTGAGTTTTCAGCAGCAATAGTGGGAATAATCAAAGTGTTACAACTTTCAGCTACAGATACGCCCAGTAAAATTTTCTTTCAAACTTGGGGAGAAATAACTCATTTTTAAGACTTACTTTTGGGGGGCAATTTGATTTGCACAGGTAAAATTAAGCAAAGAGTACAGTTTCCATATTCCCTTCATCTTCACACATGCATAACTTCCCCACTATCATCACCCTGCACCAAAAAGGTACATTTGTTACAGTCAGTGAACCTACACTGACACATAAAGTCCATAGTTTAAATTAGGGATTACTTCTGTTGTATATTTTATGGGTTTTGACAAAGTGTAATGACATGAATCGGCCGTTATACTACCATACAGAGTAGTTTCACTGCCCTACAACACCTCTGTGCTCCTATTCATCCCTTCCTCTCCCTGATTACTGGCAACCACTGTTCTTTTTTTTATTAAGATTGTTTCCACAGTCTTACCTTTTCTAGAACACGATGTAGTCAGAATCACACAGTATGTAACCTTTTCAGATTGTCTCCTTTCATCTAGTAATATTCATTTAAATTTCCTTCATATCTTTTCATGGCTTGACAGGTCATTTCTTTTTAGCAATGAATAATATTCTGTTGTCTGGATGTACCACAATTTACCCATTCATTTACTAAAGGATATCTTAGGTGCTTCCAAGGTTTGGCAATTATGAACAGGGCTGCAGAAATAAAAAGATCTAGATGCAAGATTTTGTGTAGACATGTCTTCAGTTCATTTGGGTGAATATCAGGGAGAATGATTGTTGGATCATGTGGTAAAAGTATATTTAGCTTTCTAAGAAACTGCCATATTTCTTCCAAAGAAGCTGTATCAATTTGCTCACCAGCAACGAATCAAAGTTCCCATGGCTCCACATCCTCACCAGCATTTGTTGTCATCACTGGTGTAGTCAGCATTCGGGGTCGAACATCTTTTCATATGTGTAGTTGCTGTCTGTGTATCTTCTTTGGTGAGGTGTCTGGTAAGGTTATTTGCTCATCTTTTAATCAGGTTGTTTTTCTATTGTTGAGTTTTAATAGTTCTTTGTATGTTTTAAATAATAGTTCTTTATCAGATATGCCTTTTGCAAATATTTTCTCTCTGAAAGTGACTTGTCTTTTCATTCTCTTGAGAGTGTCTTTCGCCGAGCAAAAACTTTTAACTTTAATGAAATACAGCTTATCAATTATTCCTTTCATTGGTTGTGCTTTTGATGTTGTATTTAAAAAGTCTTCACAGTAACGAAGGTCATCAAGGCTTTCTGTTATGTTATCTGCTCGGGGTTTTATAGTTTTACATTTTATATGTAGATCTATGATCCAGTTTGAATTAATTTTTGTGAAAGGTATAAGATCTAGAATGTGTATGTATGTGTGTGTTTGCATGTGGATGTCCAGTTGCTCTAGCACTATTTGTTGGAAAAAGACCATCCTTCTCCATTGAATTACCTTTGCTCCATTGTCAAAGGTTAGATCACTGTATTTGTATGGGAGTACTGCTGGGCTCTCTATTCTGTTCCATTGGATCTACTTGTCTCTTCTTTCACCAATACCGCATTGTCTTGATTACTGTAGCTCTATGAGTCTTGAAGTTGGATAGTGTCAGCCGTCCAACTCTGTTCTTTTTCAACATTGTGTTGGCTATTCTGGATCCTTTGCCTCTTTATAAACTTCAGAATCGGTTTGTCGAAATCCACAAAACACCTTGCTGGGATTCTGATTGCAATGGCATTGAATCTATAGATCAAGTTGGGATAAACTTTCTCAATAATATTGAATCTTCCTATTTGTGAACATGGACTATCTCACTGTTTATTTCTTTGATTTCTTTCACCAGAGTTTTAGAGTTTCCCCCATATATATCTTGTACACATTTTGTTAGCTTTGCACCTAAGAGTTTTATCTTTTTTTTTACATACTCATGCAAACACCTTTTTTTTTTCCAAATTCCACTTGTTCATTGTTTGTATATAAGAAAATGATTGGCTTTTGTATTATTAACTTTGTATCCTTCAACTTTTCTATAATTGCTTTTGCATCTAAATAATTTATGAGTAAGAAGGGAACATAACAGTTAGAAAATAAAATAAAAAATAATGAAAACATAAAATTTCAAAATATGTAGAACCTATATATTATAGCATTTAGGTATTTATAGCCTTAATACACTATATGAAAAAAGAGGAAAAATTAAAAATTAATGAGCTAAGCGCTCACCATAAGAGGTCAGAAAAAGATCAGCAAAATAGACACAAAGAAAACAAATAATAAAGGCAAATGCAAAAATTAATGAAATAAGGAGTAAATGTACAACAAAGAGACTAAAAATACCAAGCATTGGTCTTTGAGTGAAAATAACAATGGGAGATCTCTATCAAATTTTGATCATGACAAAAAGGAAAAATAAGCAATATCATAATGAAAGTGAAAAGAGATGACAATATAGCGTCATTATGTTATGATTCACTTATCATAGTAAACTCGAAAAAAATAAAACTCTTAGAAAAAAAACCTTAAAACTGAATTCAAGAAAAAATTTGAACAACTAAGTAGTTTCATAACCATTAAAGAAACTGAGTCAGTGAAGTATTTTCTCAAATTATAAAGAAGCAGGTACAAACAGTTTTATAGGCAAGTTCCAAAACAAAAAAAGGGAATTTCAATTTTCTTCCAGGATATAGAAAAAAGAGAAAAACACTCTGCAATTAATTTTGCTGGGCTAAAATAACTTGATATGGAAACCAAGGAGAA